TGGTTCTACCTCTATTATTCATTAGCTATGTGATAGTTACCCATTTTTGTCCCGTTTGCCTGCATGTGGGAAATTGTAGTAATAGTAGTAATAATGATGATGCTAATAATAATAATAATAATACATTTTACTTCCCAGGATTTTTATAAAGATTTTATGGGGTAATAGAATAAAATTTTTGAATTGCCACCTGATGTTATTGGTGATTATCTAAATTTAATGCTATGGAGGGCTACGGGAAACTAGGAAAGAAATAGTAAACTATTACACTAAGAAAGGTATATCTATCTATCTACTTCTTCCTCCTCACATAAAAAGAAACAAAGACACTAAAACTCAGAAAAAAGCCTGTAGTTGAGGAAGTTAGACACCAAGTTCTTCTTGGTTGCTATGTTCCTGAAATATACAGACACTTCTCTACCTCATGGTTAATGTTTTTTATTAAGAGTCAAATAAGTTGATAGGGAAATAGATGACTAAAGGGTAGCTAAATAAATATTGATAAGAGCTCCATTTTACTCGTTCAAAATGAAAACTTACTCCTTTCTGACAAAAATTCTGTGAGATACCCTTCTTGAGTGAAGTAAAAAGTTGGGAAAAACTAAGTGAATTTTTTTCAGCACTTTTTGAGCACCTGCTATGTTCTAAGCACCATGCTCTGTAAGATTCAGTGGTTTAGAAAACACTGTGTGGCTCTTACGGTTTTGTGAAAGGCACAGGTAAGTAACCCAGCTGTCACGGTTCAGTGCCGTGAGGGTGAGACACAGGGCATTTCACCCAATATGGCCTCATGAGTGGGGCATGAGGTGAGAACACAGCAGGGCGTTTCACCCAGTGTGGATCCAGGAACAGAGTGGGAGGCAGCAGGGTGGGGAACAACAGGAAGGTCTTTCGCAAACAAGTAAGGAGACAAGCTGACAAGCTGAAATTTGAAAGGGGAAGAGGGTAATTGCATGAAGAGTTGAAAGAAGAATATTTCATGTAGGAAGAAATATAATCTCAAACGCCAGAGTGTGAGGAGAGCACTTCCAGAAGCCAAAATTTGCCTGATGCCACTGGATGATGCAATGCAAATGGAGTGGGAAATGAAGCTGGAGAGATAAGCAGGGCCAATCATGAATGACCTATTAAACCATATTTCAAAGTTGGGATTTTATCTTGAGGACAATGAGATTAATCAAGAGATATTACATTCACATTTGCAATTTAGGAAAAAAATATCTGATTGTAGTATGGTGAATGTGTGGCAGTGAGCATGAAGAGCGGAAAGCTAGAGACAAAGAAACCGTTTTTAATATTTTCTCATTTCGGTAATTTAGGCCCTCCCAGAAAGAAATGTTAATGTCTGAAACAAGGTTAGTGGGAGTAGGGACTGGGAGTAAAGAATGAATCTGATATATATATATATATATATACACACACACATACACACACACACACACACACACACAGGTATATATACATATATATTTGTCTATATACATATATATGCGTGTATATATATGTGTATATACATCACACTCATATAATATAAAATTGATCCTCAATACATGACATAAACCACAGAACATGACATAAACCACAGAACATGAGGATCAATTTTTTATGAGTGTAGTGAAGGGGAGACAGCAGTCAAGGGAGATGCTTCGCTTTTTTTGCTTAGACAATTCTACCTGATGACACTGTTAACTAAGATAATAAAACACAAGTGTTTTGTGGGAAGGAAGATAATGACTTTAGTCCTGAGTTTGTTGAATCTTGGGTGTCTGTGAGGCAAACAGTAGAGATACAGAATAGTCCATTGGAATGTAGGTATAACAATCATGAAAAAAATCTGGGCTGTAGGTGGTGCTTTAGCTTCTGAAGCTAGAAAATAGGTAAGATCCTTTGATGAATGTATAGATTGAGATGAAGAAAGAGGTAAGTGATCAAACTCTTAAATACAGATAGTTAAGGAAAGGACAAGATAAGCCTAAGAGTTAATCTGAGAAGGCTGACTATAAGGATAAGAGGAAAAGCAGTTAAATTTGGTGTCCTAGAAACCAAGAGAAATAAAAAATAACAACTGAAAGGAGTATCAACAGAGCCAAACAGTTCAGAGGAAAACAAGATAACAGAAATTGTCCATAGACCTAGAAACAATATGATAATTGGTGAGCTTCCTGACAGTAATTTCATTTGAGGTTAAGGAGAGAATCTAGATTGCACTGAAGGTTGAGGTGTGGATGGGAGATGACGATGTGGTGTAGGACAATTCCCTCAAGAGATTTGGAAAGAGAGATTGAAAGTAAATAAGGTGGGAAAAAATAAAAAATAAAAAAGGGACGCATGTTCTCAGGATCTCCTGAAAGCTAAGTCACAGAAAAAAAGAAAGAAAGAAAAAACAGAAGTGAAAAAGAGTTTAAGGAGAAATTTCTTTTGACAGCAGAAAAGACTGTATCACATGTACATGCTTATGGGAAGAAGCTAGTACAAAATAAAATAAAAGTAGGAAAACAATTGATGAAGTAAGACCCACTGAAAGTGATCCAGAGGCACATGGAATACAAGGTGGTTACATTCCTAACTATTCAGCACGAACACTTTCTCTATCTCCAGTCTCTGAGACTCAGTACTTAAATAGATTGTCCTTAATTAGGAGATGCAGTGTGGTTTGGTGGCCAGAACATAGCCCTGCAGTCAATTATTCTAGATTTTATTCCCAACTTTATCAGTACCTGTCTATGTGAAATTGAACAAGTGGCTTAACTGGTGTGACATGTAAATGCAAAGTCTTTGCTCTATGTCCTTTTATTTAAAAGAGAGAGAGAGAGAGAGATTGTCAGTCAGTTGTACCACAGGTAGTAATTCTCTGGGATTTTTTTTAGTTGTGGATTTTTTTTCTGTTTTATAAATGTGCATGGTTTTATATTAGGGATATAGAGCCTTTTTTTTTTTTAAATCACAACATATCTGTATTTCTTCTCCTCACACTGTGTCCCATGTTGCAATTCAGATGTAACTACAACTTTAGTAATGCGGAATCTTAGAATAACTATATAGCTTTCTGTGATAGGTTTTGGATTGTTGAGGATGGCACCTAGTATGTCCACATTTTGTTCTGAAACACTATCATTGATTTATAGTTCATTGCAGTTGTTTCGAAGATGTTCAGAGCACTAGCCTACTCATCTGAGAGTTAGTAACTGTGAACTCCAAACAATGGAACAATCGGACATTCAGGAGCTCTGAATTCTAAGTCCAGCCATAGTTCTTGATGGGCTCGTCTTTAACAAGCCATCATTTTTCTCTGTGCCTGATATTCTTCCCTGTAAAATATATATGATCTTTCAGGTTTTCACTGCAAAAGTCTGTGAGAACATATTGCAAGACAGTGTGTGAATTTGAGAAAACGACCCTTAACCCCAATAGCCAAAAGGAGGATTAGGAACTCTGTAAATAGAGATTGCTAAATATTTGGAATCAGCTACAGTCTGCTGCCCTTGGGTTTGACTTGTAATGACCGGTCCCCTACCCAGAGGCCCTACAAGAGTGGAAAGCTGAGGTGGAGAGAGTCCTCATCCTGCTTCCTCCGTGTCACACTCTGAACCAGTCAGTTGCCCAAGTACCATCAGTGTCTCCTAATGAAGATTTGCAGGGATCGTTTGGCTGTCAGGTGCTTGCTTCTGCAAGCAGAAAATGTTCCTGTTTTATTTGTCACTACACAGAGTCCCTAATGGGCAGTAAGAATGAGAAAAGATAAAATTCATTATTGAACTCCTTCATGCTCTTTTGTCCTCCTCCTTCCCCCAGACACATACTTTCTCAGGGACAGCCTAAACAAGTGAGTAAAAAAGAAGAAATTCACAGTCAGACTATAAACCCTGCTTTTTGTAATCAGTGCATAACCTCTGTGATGAAATTTGTGAGTAATTCACTCCCCACTTAAGCCTACCGACGTGTGATCTAATGTTGCCACCCTGAACACTAATGAAGGAAGTCAGACGGCAGTACAGCTTGCCCTTGGGGACTCATTTCTCACATCACCAAAAACTAATTTCTGTTGTTTTCAGCCATCTGGTAGCCTGGGTTGTGAAGATGAAGTTGCAATCAAGTAGTACCTATGAGCAAAGGCCCAGAAATGGCTGGGATTCAAACTCATTTTCTGCCCCTCACCTAGCCCCCTCTATGCCTCAGCTTCCCACCCATAAATAAAAACTTCATAGGATATCATTGCTTTATTGTAAGAAGTTATTGAAGTAATATTTGTTAAATACTCTATGTTGGGTTTTATGTATAATAAATGTTTAATTACAGTTAGCTATTAATTACATTGTTAGTAGTAGTGGTGTTGGAAGTATTAGAAGTAATAGTATTTTTGAATGTCTACCTGTCTGTGACATAGGCCTTATTAATTCACATTTTCAATTCTAAGATACTTCATGCAGCCTGTTATACACAAAGATGATATTTAAATGCTTTCTATTGTGATGATTAATCCATGTTCATTATGTTGCTAGATTATAAGTAACCAGGTATTGCCACATCTTAATAATACAGTAATGTAATCTTATGCTAAATAGCATTGTTTTTCTTTTGCTGGTACTTGGAGAAGACATTGGATTATATTTATATACACATAAGAAAATAAATTTAAACAACAATGATAAGAAATAATATATTATTAATTTGCATAAATGTGCATGCTGTCTAATATCTAAATAAGGTACATTCTAGTATTTTTAAAAGCAAAGATATTTTCATCTTACTAGTTTGTGTATTTCCTACAGCACTCAAATGGCCATTGTGAAGGGTGTTCTTACCTTCACAATGTATGTGCTTAAGGATAACTTACAGATTTGGTAAGCAGATGACAAGCATGGGTCTTAAAAGCACCTTACTTCTTAACACAAAAATTCAAATTAAGTTATAAAACCTTGAATTTGCCACTTCCAGTTGTATGGCTATAAGCCAAATCTTACTGACATGGTTACATATTCCATTTGCTTTTATTTTCACAGTCCCACCAAAGATCTCCAACATCTCCTCGGATGTCACTGTGAATGAGGGCAGCAATGTGACTCTGGTCTGCATGGCCAATGGCCGTCCTGAACCTGTTATCACCTGGAGACACCTTACACCAACTGGTAAGCAATGCTCCAGGTTCTAATATGCCACATACTGTTTAAAATATCCTCATGCTCCTGAAATTCTGTTGAATCAGAAATATCAATTCAATTCAGAATCAGAATTGAAATTCTGTTGAATCAGAAGGACATGCATGTATTTTGCTATTAAAATACTAAGAGAATGGCAACATAGGTCTTATTTAGGGTCCTCATGGTCTTTGCTAGTGTGTTAATCTCTATAAGGTTTATAATCATTGTACTGAGTATATATGTAGATCTCTATCTATCTATCTATCTATCTATCTATCTATCTATCTGTAAAATTTCAGTTTCAATAGAACAGCCCCCTGCAATGCAACAAATACAGAAGCATTAAATGGCTTGATATTATATGTAAAATATATGCCAGTTTGGTGATTGAGTGTCTTGGGGTGATATTTTGTCTGAATTAATTTTACATAGTTGTTTGTAAGTTTGTTTGCGTTGCTTTTAACTACAGTTTTCTAACTTGTAGCACCTTGTGAAGAAATATATCAGGAAAATACAGAATTGTTTCTCACTTTTATTGTCCTGTCCTTGGCATCAGGTTCTGTGATGGGCATCAGACATGGACTAAGTTGCATGAACTCATTATGAGTCCCAGCTATTGATACTAATTCAGTCAAAATCAGAAACTCATTTCCCTGGAATGTCTTCAGCATCCTTTCTTCCCCCTTCTTACCATCATTGCCGTGAAAATGTTCCCAGGCCTCCTGCTTTTTGAACTTTATTTAAATGTTTGAGCAAATTATTTAAGATTAGCTGCATACATACTCCTCTACTCTACCAATTACATTTTCTGGTATGCAAAACTATGTTTTGTCAAATAACACAGTCTTTATAGAATGTAGCATTCTATTTAAATCTTCCAGAAAGATAGGCAACAGGTCAATTTTTCTTATAAAATATTATTGATTTTGTAGAGAACCCACAAATTAAACTAATTTATATATTATAGTCACAAAATTTTCTCATGTAAGCAACTAGAGATTTGTTACAACATATTCATTTTAGAATGAACACCATAAAAATATTATGCAAGACTAGATGCACAACAGGAGCTAAACTGAGACACTTCTAAAAATCCAGGATAGTGTTTGGTTATAATGTGTTTAAAACTATCTGTATTTTGTGGTGTGAAAAGATGGGTCCTCTGTTTGATAGTAGATCCCAAATTGATTTCTCAAGTAAAATTTGGACCAACCTATAGAATAGTTTTATATTTAGGCAGATACTCTTATTAGAGGCCTCTATTTTCTTGAGAAAATGTCACGCAAAACTCATCCTTATTAACACAGGCAATTTCTCATTTATTGATAATATATACATGAGACATTTATTTGGGAGAGAAATCTCAAACTCATTGACTCACATACTTATTTTAGACCTCATGTGGAAAAAAAAATGTATAAAGGATTGTCTCGAGTACAAACGTGCAGCTATTATATCTTTCCCTTGGAATGAATTAAACCTTCAGAGCACATTCTACTTGGATGGCATTGTGTTGGCTCCAATCCCATGCCACCTACCCGTGTCCCAAGTAGCATTGCTTTTACTGAATAGCAATTTGGTGTAGAAGCTATTGGCTCATATTTAAGGATGTTATAAAAGACACCTTCTAAAATCATTGTGTTTACTGTAATGTTATAATTGAGAGATTGTTAATTGTTTTACAGTTTTCCTTTGAGAAGACCATTTGAGGAAATTTGTTTTGTTTTTCAGTATCTCTACTTTCTTTTTTCCTAAGCAATCATTTGCTTTTTAAGAAAGGACCCAGTGAATTTTCATAAGTGATTGTATGCCCTTTATTGTAAACTTAGAGTCAAATTTATGGACCATCTGTAAAAATATATAAATTATTATACATAAATTACACATTAAAAATTGATTATAAACAAGCTATGCAGAAATTTATGGGATCAAGTCCATTTCAGATCACACTTGTGCTATCATCTTGTTTTCTTACCATTATTTTTATTTTGTCTCACTTTTTCTAATTAATTTAAATGTCTATGTAAAGATACTATTTATAATTTCTTACTCTTTTGTGGAACAAGGTGGTAGATAAAAGAAGGGATATGGGAGTTAGAAAGGAAGAAAGAGTCTATTCAAGTTACAATCAAATAATGAACTGCATTAATAGAAAATATTTATTTTGGCACAATGTTGACTAGCAAGTAGGCTTTTCAAGAAAAATTTTATATGGCTGAATTGATCCTAAAGATAGATTCCTTTTTATCCCTTGAATTTATAAAACTTCTGATGTGGAACCAGAGTTTCAGAGCCTTTCCCACCTTGTCTAGGAGTTTGGGTAGTCATAACTAACACTCATAAACTTTCCCATGATAATGAACATGTGATTTGACCCCTTGTTTTTCTGTAATGTTTCAAGTCACCAACAGACCAGAGGACAAGCTATGTCTTCCAGAGTAAAGGCTGTATTTACATAAACTCAGAGGACCCTGGAGACTTCAGTATCAACCAGGAAAATAGATACACTCACAGGGATTCTCAGTAGTCAGTAACAGAGGTCAGCAAACCACAGCCTGTGTATCAAATTTAGTCTGCTCCATTTATGTGCTGCCTGCAAGTGAAGAATAGTTTTTTAATTGTTAAATGGGGAAAAATCAAAATAATTTTATTTCTTTGACTTGCAAAAATCTCTCTCTCTCTATATATATATATATATATTTACACACATATATATATAAAATTCAAATTTCAGTGTACATACATAAAGTTTTATTGCAACCCAGCCATGCTCATTCATTTACAAATTCTCAATGGTTGCTTTTGTTCTAAAACAGCATCACTGAATAATTGCGACAAAGACCACTTGTCCCACAAATGTAAAATATTTTCTATTTGACCCTTTACAGAAAAGTTTATAGACTCCTGTTCAAGGCCATGGCTTGGGACACAGGACAAGGATTTGCTGCACTCATCCATGGCCGGGTAGGGCTTTGGGGATATCCCCCACCAAGCTCCTTCAGACATCTCAAAGGAAACAACTTTACTCTTCTACGGTCTTCCATCTAGGCCCACTTTGTAAGTCAGATTCTACTCTGGCACATGCAAAGCTAGCTTTCTGTCGCATTTGCAGACTTGAGGGCAGACTACTATTCTCCTTTCGATTCCCACGCCTCCTCTTTCATTTCTTTTACATCTGACCTAAATAACCAACTGATCATAATCATATTCCTGGTGATAGGAGAGAGAACTTTCCTTTGCTATTTTATAAAGGCAACTAGGATTTTTGTTTGTTTGTTTTCATGTTTTTTTAAAAAATTTCTTTCAAAATACGGAAACAGTAGGTGATTCTTTTCAGCCTATAATGTGAAGTCTTCCTTGGAGATTATCAACAAGCTATGTGGAAGAGACCCAAAGAAGAGACTCTGCTCCCTGTGTGACAGCAAAGCTGCCTGCAACCCGTGGCCATGTGAGGAAAAAAAAAATGGCTAGCTTTGTTCAATTATTAATTGTGCCTTCAACAGTACAGAGTGTGACTGCCTTGCAAAGGAAATGTACCTGTAATTAGCTCGACCCCACAGGGACATTGAGCCCTGGATAGGGGAAGATTCTACGCAGGGTTCACAATACCTGATTGTCATTTGATGACATGAGAGAAAGAAAAGAAAGAAATATGCATGGTATATTTTTATGAGGAGAATACTTATTACCTCTTAATTTAGTTTAAAAAAATTGGCAAGGCCATTTTGTTTCTTTCTTTTTGTGCCTGAAATTTCCTTTTCAAGTATACTGCAAGTGCTTTTAAAAAGGTAAATTAGAAGAATGGTGAATTTTTCATACATACAAAATAAAAAACACCTGAATTAGATGAAGTCGAAGACATTTATGCATTCTCTGCGTGCCTTCTTACATTTCTGATTTCTTAATTTTTCTCCCCTCTTCAGTTATATAGTTCAAAATGATGTGTCACACATGTGGTTATTAAATGTGACCTATTTTCTTCCTTAATTAAGTTAGACTTTCATAATCCTGTGACTCCCAGAGGGCAATTGCACCGTAACGTGTATTTTCTATGGAGTGTTTGATCTTCCTTCTGTGAGCAATGCTGCTCCCATCTTCATTTAACTTTATTTCTAAATCTTTATTCTCACATTCATGAGGAAGTCCCTTTCTCAAATGTGCATCATGTGTTGTCAGGATTGCTCAGGGTCACAGAAAGAGTTTCTATGCATTTCATTTCTGCAAAAGTTTTCACAACCTCCGTAGCTCTCCAGCACTGAAAAACTCAAAAGGTACACTGAGGATTTAACCCTTTAAGCTGAGAACAACCCAAGAGGTACTGTGTAATTTTCTTTTTCAGCCACAAGTCAGATCTCACTTAAAAAGTATTTTGCAATTTGATGGAGTGAGTGGGAAAATATTGTGCTTGGAGAAGCTAAGACGAGTCCGAAAAGTGTGAAATCCCATTTTCTCATTGGACATTGAGTTTTAACCACTTGATCTGAGATTCTCCTTTCAATTCATTTCCAAGTCTGAACCCTTGACTGATGGTACTTTTTAATTTCATTAATGCTATTACTCCCATCTGTTTTACTTCTAATTGTAAACTCACCCAATAAGACCAGCCTAGACTCTGACCTCATGGGCTTGAGAGAAATATATAATGTTAAACTGAACTCATTTACTTAAGTTGCATTACAGAAGTACCTGTTGCGAGTAACATCTGGTCCTTCAAGTTAGCATGTTAGAATTTGTATGATTTCATATTTAACACAAAGAACACATTATCTACAGGTTAAGTTTCAGGAAATTATTTCTCTGGGGCTTTCTTGTGTGGACCCTCCAGAAGATTCAGTGAGTCAAAGTTGGTAGCATATGGATGTGGAATAGTCAAAGTTATGCATTTTGCAGGGGAAGACTGTTGACCATGCAGTAACATTCAAAAGAGAATAATGACGCAATTTATTCTATTAATTGCTTTCATTTATCTCTTGCATTTTTAATTTTTT